GGGGGGGGGGGGGGGGGGGGGGGGGGGGGGGGGGGGGGGGGGGGGGGGGGGGGGGGGGGGGGCGTGCGTGGGGCAAGAGGCAAAGAGCATCTGTATCACATATGACACCACCGACGCGTCGAGCACGTTGCCCGCCTATCGTAGGCACAGATCGGATCGTCGCTGTGTGTTCCTATTTACCAGGCCGAGGAAGGGAGGGGGGGGCGTACTCTTATGTTTCGCATATCTTGGCGGTTAGACCACATGCGGGGAACTTACTTGCTGCCGCAGCAACGACACGCCGCCACACAACAAGAGGACGCCAAAAAACGTTTCTTCACTTTCGCCCTCCTCTTACCGGTCGACGCTGCTTGCGAAGACGACCTCTTCCGCCTCGCCAACCTCCTGGCGCTTCGATCCCTCCTCTCCTCCCGCGCGTCAGCCTGCTGTCCACCGTCCACCGCTGCTGCCGTTGCCGCTCCAAGTGTGGAGGAGGTCATTGTCCCTGTAGCTGGCGGATTTGCCGCTGCTGCTGCGGCGGTAGCGCACAGCGTCCCCGATATCCTCTGCACTCCCACCCAGAGCCTCTCTACAACTCCCTGCGGGTCCACCTCCGGCGGGTGGACCCTCGCGAGGACCAGGACGCGCTCCAGCAACACCCGTGCGACCATCCCCGGATTCGCGGCACACTCCGCCGCCGCCGCCGTTACCGGCGACGCTCGAGCCGCGGAATACGACGCACTGCCGGCGGCGGCGGCGGCGGACTGCCGATGTCGTCCCTTCGTTGTCGCCGCTGCCGCTGCCGCGGCTGCAATGGTTGCCCTGGCGGTCGCCACAACAGCAGACGCTTGACCCACGGTCCCACCGCCGCCGCCGCCAGCGCCGCCGCCAAACTCCTCTGCGAACGGAGAGGCGGCCAGGAGAAGCCGCACGCACTCCCAGAGAGCTCTCGACTCATCCTTGTGGCGGACTTGGCCCGTCGCCGCCATTGCCGCGGTCGCCGCAGAACGTCCGCCACTCCCCGCCCCCTGCGCCGGTCCCGTTGCGCCGCCGCCGCCGCCGTGTTCCGAGCCGCCCCCTCGCCTCCTCGCCACGGCCAAGCGGAGCGCGTGTACGAGGGCGTCCCAAACCAGCTCCGACGGCAGCCCGCGGCTCCTCCGAGACCCGTAGCCGCCGCCGCCGCCGCCGGAGGAGGCATTTTGTGAGAGGAACGCGGAAGGGCCGCCGGACACGACGTCGAAGAAGATGCCCCAGAAGCCCACGAGGGGCTCCACGAGGCCCGGCACGCGGGTCGTTGTTGCCGCGGGCCCTGGAGCACCGCTTAGGCCTGCGGGGAGAGGAGAGAGGGAGCGAGAGAGAGAGAGGGAGGGTGGGTGGGGGGGGGAGAGACAGCGAGGGAGAGGCAGACAGCGAGAGATCGGCAAACAGACCGAGGTGGAGCAGGTGGAGCAAAAAACTAGGGCGGCAAAGGGTGGTCAGACTATGCCGCTAGCGACAACGGTGAGGTATTCCATTAAAAACCCGCAGAAGGACTTGGTCCCCGACTGATATCGTAACGTTCGCCGACGCACACGAAACGGAAGAGGCAATGGCAGCCGGAACTAGCAAGGGGAGAGAGAGCAAAAGCTCACCTCCGGAGCCGTCGAGCGTGTCCATGACCGCGCACAGGAGCTCCGCCGAGGGATCCTTGGACAGCAACGCCTCTTGCTCTTGCTGTCGCCCAGCTTGGTTCCTCCTTCTCCCGCTCCTCGCCGGCCCCAACCGCCGCCGCTTCTCGAACAGGAACAGCAGGTCGAGCAAGATCCGGCGGGCGAAGTCCACCAAGAAACCGCGGCCACCACCGCCGGCCTTTCCGCCCCTGACATCCTCCTCCTCCTCCCATCCCACCTGTCGCGAAGCCGGACCACCACTCCGCTTCCCCCCACCGACAACAACAGCCTCGTCTTCTTCTACCGCGGTCATGAGGGAGAGCCAATCCAACAGGTGAACGTGAAGGGCTGCGCAGGCCCCAAACAGGGCTGAGCTGCCGCCGCCAAGCCCCGGGTTTTCTGCCGGCCGCACCGCCGCCGCCGCCGTCAGCGAGAGCCCCGGAAAATCCCTCTCCCCGTCGTCCCCCCCCCCGCTGCCGCCGCCGCCTTGACCGGGGGCGCACGCCTCCGCCAGGCGTCTGACTGCGGCGGCTACGGGTGCACTGCGACTGTAACACGACGACGGCTCCTGGTGCTGTGGAGAAGACGACGGCCTTAGGTGCTGTGGTTGTCCACAGCCAACGGTACCGGCACCTCCGCCCCCTGCCCCCTCGAGCGACGACGGTGAGGCGGCGGCTTTAGAAGAGTGAGGATGGAGGAGCGTCCGGCGAAGCTTCGCTCCGACGACGGCCATGGTCTTGCAGCAGTCCTCTGCCAGGGCTTCCGCCTATTGTAGGTGGGAGGGGGGTTCGTTGTTGGCAGCATAAGCGGTCAGGGATGGGCTGCGGGGTGGGGTGGGGGGGGGCGGGGGCGGGGACTCATAGTCGTGCATGCCGTAGTCGTTAGACCATTGACCTCGCATCCCTACAAAGCCGGGACGGAGCACGCCGGGTTCTCACCGGACCAGGCTCTCA